TTACCTTCATGCATAAAAGTACCAGCAGAATGGCCCTGTAACATCTGTTTTTCAAACATACTGACGTTCCTCTGAACATTTATTTCCTCAATTTATGCATGGGTGTCTCTCTCTCTCTGGAAAATCTGTAAACCTAAGAATATTTCCTCCTGCTGGTGGAGTTTCTCCTCCCTTTCAGTGTTCCATCTGCTAATTAAGACAAATATTGTGTTGATGCTATACTGTCAGCCCTGATATGATAGCTTTCCAGCGTTTTCAAGGCAATACGGAGGGTGCTGAAACTCGAAATGTGCAGTCATTTTCCTGGCCGTGGCATTTCTTCCAGGAGCCCCCCAGCTGTTTTAGCATATGTCAGCATATCGCAGGGATGCCGACGTTGCGCCGGCATTTAATGATGCCACTGTGCTGCTGATGGTGATGCCTTAATGATCGTGGTGTGTGGTTTCTGATAAACGGCTATAATCTGCAAGTGATTATGAACAATCATTTTCAGGGGAGGCGCTTTTGTAATATGTGTTTCAATAATGGTGTGATGTGAGGTAAAGCGGTGTTTGATCAACGCATTATTCTGCAATGTTGTCCTGTTTGGAAGTTAAATGACTATAGGAGCAGAATTTTCATGTCTCGCTCTGGAAGTCGAGTTTTCTACACCGAGACTGTTTTATGAGCTAAAATGTGTGGCATCACAGATATGCACAAAAAAAGAATGATCACACAAGGCCGACAGCAGCAGCAAAAACACTAGTTTAAAAGTCTGTGATATCACAAAGCAGATACTGTATGTATAAGCATACAGTTGGGTGGTGCAATGGTAATGCAATTGCCTTTCAAACAGATCCAGACAATGCAAACCTTACCTGCTGCAATACCTACTGAAGTTAACTTCAACATAGTGATCTAAAATTAGATAAACATAAGACAGCATTTAGACTGAACTTGATACAAGATGCAGACTTTAGTTTAGTAAACTCAAGAAGGCTTCTAAAGTTCTAAACGATCCAGAAAGATAAAAAAAATCTTAGAGCAATTTGCCCCATTTTTGCCATGGCCTCTTTCTCTATTTCTCAGCCTTGTTCTCTCTATTCCTACGGGGCTACTGTAACTGCAGTTGACTGCAATAAGGGACTGCAGGGAAGGATACTGAATACTAAGCTGGCCAAGTCAGACAGCCTACATTTTGATCCAATCCTCCCATGAATTAACAGAAAGCTCCTATCGGGCTATAGGGTGATGGCGTGGCAGTTGTTAATGAACAAATCCAATAGCTGAACATCTGTTTACATGATGCTCGGGGGAGTTGAATTTTAATAAGCTATGCATGGAGATGTCTGACTGCAAAGTTTGGACTCGAGCATGAGTAAGAGGAATCGAGAGCAAAAATACAAATGAGCCTTCTGGTTACATGACTCGTCCTCACGTCCTTCAGTATAAAAATCAATACACGAAACTGCAGCGCATTAATCTTTTTTCTTCAGACCAATTAAAATTCCTTTCCCCATCTTTTAGCAAGTATGTATCTGAAATCATTTTCCCTTATTCCCATCTTGTGCTCTTTCCCAGCAGGACCCTGCAATCTCCAGATCAGTAATTATAGTAGCCTATGTTTGGATACACCTTACCTGAAATTTGCTGGTATGGTGTCTCAATTTACAATCCCACTCTCAAGCTTTCAGTTTTATTTACTTCTGCCACAGCCCTTCGATTGTGGATTCTTTGTCTTTTGGTCAGACGCATGGAATTTAACAGAAGAGAGTTTCATGAATTTTGGGAAAAGAAGGAACAATCTTTAAAAAAATGGGGTGGATTGTGCAGTTTGTTTTAATAACATAAATGAGTTGCACACACAGACTGTACATAAGAGATGTATGCAACCACTGAGAAAATCCCCCATTGGTTAGTAACGTTTCATCCCAAAGGCTGAGGTGATAGTTGCATCTTAGCATTTTGAAACCAGCCGTAGTTGGGTGTGGCCACAAACAGGCCCCCTCGTAGGGTAAGAAATTACCAATCACAAGGTAGGCCTGCCCCAAGGCAAATGCTGCTTTATTGCTGTGTTTTAACAGAGAGCATCATTTCTAGAATGAACATCATGCTGTGTTTAACAAACTAGCCACTGAGACCATAAAACTCATTAGGAAAGTATTTGCTGGGCTCATAGATCAAGCTACTGAAGGTTTGTATTTCCCACAGAGATTACTGAAATCTTTCTTGTTCTGGTAACAAAACGACCCCCAACCCCCTTTCACTTTTTACGTGTCATTTTTCAGACCCGGAAACCAAGCCCACTTTTTAAATACAGTCAATAGCGTGGTTGCCAAGAAGGGATGGGCATTCTTCCAAAATCATCCATCATATTATAACCACAAAAAAAAAAAAAACCTTTTCTTTTTTTTTTGTAGCTCAGTGACTAATATTAGAAAAGCATGCACATCCCTACCCCCAAGGATAACAAACTTTACTCCCTAAATATTTGATGAATAATGAGGCTTTTACCTTTATTTGCAAACCTGTACACAGATGTCTCCCAATCTCTCTCTAGTCAAATTTGTGAATTTAATTTTTGTGGACGTGTACAAGACCTGCAAATCTATCATTAGAGTCATATATGAAGATGTGCAATAAAAACATCCCAGTCTGTATTCAGTTTCAAAACTGTGCTGCTGAGAAAAGCAGACAAGTCGGGCAAGTCTGCAGTCACGTTTTCTTTTTGCCCGGAAATTTGTATTTTTAGCAAACTTTATTAAGCATAATTCACTGGATTTTGAACCCAGGCTTTCTCTGTGAAGGTCAAAAACTTGACCCTACCTTACAAAGTTAATATAGTACCTTACGAAGCCTATTTTCAGTAGTAACAGTATTTTTCTTTGACCACAACATTTTGTTTACTATGGTTGAATCAGAGTGTCAGCATTTTATGTTACTAAAAATAACTCACTCATAAGTGATATACATGTATTCAGCTATGTATAAGCTTTGATAAACTTCTGATACCTGAGCCCTCCACACTAGTAGTGTTTTTGGGGAGGACACTGAACTAACTTGCTCCTGATGCCAGACAAGCTCCTTGCATTCCAGCTCCACGGTCGAGTGTGTGTATGTGTGTGTCTGCTTATGTGAAACTCATTACAAAGTCCTTATAGAACCTGGCAAAGGTTGAATAATATTCCGTAAGTGGCCCTTAACACATTTCACAGTTAAGATATGAAAGGAATAAATAACAATACCAGTCTGCATCAGTACAGGGTGTACTCCACTTCTCACTGGGAAAGGCTCCACTGCGACCTTGAATTGGGTAAGCGAGAGAAGATGCATGGATGGATAAAGAGTACTTGGATTCACTGAACAGTTATTGAATAGTCTGGGTCCTGACGAGAAAGCAAGTGAAAAGCAGTGAGTACACACATTTTTCTTCTCAAGAACATAACATAAAACCATATATGTAATAGCATGTACGGTGTTATGTTTAGAGGATGTGTGCACTTACATACCTATCAAGCAGCAGACTATGGCATCAGTAGCCGATTCACCAACAGGGGGACCTCAGAAATTCCCTCTCACGTTTCCATGGTGGTCACGCTTTAACTCGTGTTCTCATTATGCCTGAAGCCCTCTGGTGAAGTTATTTTAATTTTGACCAAAGGCCTGTGAGTGTTAAAGTTCATACTCAGCAGTGATTCAGCAGCCTTTTGCTGAAAATGTAACGACCCACTTACACACATCATTTATTCACACCCCATTGTTTGAACGGCTTGCTGCCCTAGGGAGGCTTTGAGACTGTAGATGGGCTTTTTAACAAGCTAGCAGATCAGTCTCTCCAAACATGACTTGATGTTATCGTTTTGTAACCAAGCTTTAAAAAAACGAAACCAAGCATATCACGAAACACAAAAACTATTTCAGTGTGTAACTTGGCTACCTGCCTTGTTTTCAACCATTAACATTAAGCGTGATAATTCACTATTAATGGAGGAAAGAGAGAGAACAGAGAGAGCAAAAGAGGCAGGTGATCTTTTTTTGAGTATGGGCTGCTCTGCTGCTGACATTTGAAATAATTGAAAATAGCTTGTATTTAAAATGCCATTGATTTTAGGTGTTTGTTTTTTTTAATAAGTCATTGAATATGTATGATGTGTTAATGAGAAACGCCATTAACAAATGCTAATCATTTCTGTGTTATTTGGTTTGGTGTGAGAATACTGAAAGGTTTAAACAAGTGCAGATATGGAAGTGGATTACTTTGTAGCTTTTAAACATAGCAATAAAAAAATAAAAAAATAAATAAACCTTTCTTTACTTCACACTTAAAAAGTGATCTTTGTACAAACCAGTGTTATTAACGGTAGTTATTTAGGCCAAACGCTGTAAATCAGATATCATGTAAATTTGGAATTTTACCTCAAACGCAGGACTGCCTTCAATGGCATTGTGGGAATTGTAGTGTTGCTCAACCTTGACTGACCCCGACGAAGGACTAAAAGTTAGATTATTCTGAATCGTTTTAGCCCCTTTACTTAAGGAACTTTGATATTTATGCTAAAAATGTAACTTAGTGCATTTTAATTCAACCCTTTGCCACAATTAATTTTTGTCCGTTTGAACAACAAACTCAGAATTCTCAAGTTACAAACACTAACTTTGAATCCAGTGCAGTGATTAAACATTAAAAAGGGTAAGTGGCTAATTTGAGTGTTATAAAGACAAACCTCACCACCACTTTCAACCTTTTTTTTTCTTTCTTTTTTTGTGTGTAAAACTGGGCAGGCAGACTGACCTGTAAACAACGTTACATATAATGTGAATGTGAGTCGAAAAGTTAACCTCTCGCTATGTGCCCGGTGACACGTGTAAAGGCTCTTAAAGCACACAAAGAGTCAGTGTGTGTCCAGTGGTACCGCGACGTCAGTGTCTCTGGCACTGAGCTGAGTTGGTCGGGGCCATGCAGCAGAGGCAGCAACGTCACTCCCTGACGGCGGCATCAGAGCAGCACGGACTGTACGGACGGCCATCCGCGCAGCAGCGAGTCGCTCACTCCGGAACTCGGCGAAGGAAGACGGCGTCGGACAGCGGCTTTCTGCTGTGGGGCAAATTATTTCTTTTCACCGCGACTTTCCGCTTTTGTGGCTGAGGTAACCAGAAGCCGCTTTATATGGGAACGTTTTTTTCTTTATTCGTTTAAAGGTGTGTTTTCTGTTTTTTTCCTTGTCAACTAGCTACACGGAACAGCATGGGTACCAAACGTTTCGAGTACAATGACTAGCTTCCCGCACTGTAGCCATAAACTGAGGGTTGCTATGGTACTGCCAGGCAACATCCCACCTGCTGCTGCCGCGACTGTATGTATTTCTCGCTGCTGTCAATCAAAACACGTTGAAATTAATAAAAACAAAGCGCTTTTCGAGGGTTTTAACCAGGCTATACGTTTGTTGAGAATGTATGTATTTTAGTTGTGCTGTTTTGTCTTAGCCAGCTGTTTGAATCAGTCATTTCACAACGTGACTTCATTTTCTGCTCGTTTAGGCTGTGCTGATTTAACGCAGAATACTTTAATAGCAGCCTCTACAGTTAAATTGACAGCACTCTTCTAGCTGCATATTGTGTGATGCCTGCTGGCTACACTCAGCAGCTTAGACAGTCACTACAAAGGTCGTCTTGTTTTGAGTGTTTTTCCAGTTAAGTGCCCATGTGTCTGTGGCTCTAGGTGACAGTCCAGTCCATTTCTCATGAAATACAGCACATGCCTGTCATTCCCTTTGTAACTGCTGTCTGTTTGTTTATTTTCATAGTGTCTGTGCAATATCCAGGACCAGAAGGCTTGAGCAAACGCAAAATGGTGATTACCAGCGTGGCATCCCTCGCAAAGACATCACTGGCCGTCGACGCAGAGTACAGATGTTTGCAGTGAAGGTGCATAGTGCGTACAGTAGTCTTCTAATTCTGTGGCTCAGACAGCTGCTGTGGTTAACCGTCAGTGCATGCCAACGCCCGGCCCACGGTACAAAGAAATTCCATTATCCCCATCTCTGTGACAGAGAGGAAGAAACCACCATGCCATGTTGTCATGAGGCCAGAAAAGGAGGGAGAATTATGAGTCAGAATGGAGGAGAAAAAAAAGAAAACTGTCACTCTTCAAATACACATCTAAACTTGGTAGACAGCTCACATGCTTATTTTAAGAGCAGCACCGGATCTCTTTTGTGCTGTTCAGTTGGCATCAGAGCTGTAGAACCATGAACAGACTTGGCGTCTTTCTGGTATCTTCTTTTTTTCCCCCCTAGAAATTATTACTGAAGCTTTTTAAAACTGTTTCTTTACACTGTGGTGTCTGTGTAAATTCCAAGGATTAGAGCTAACGTTTTAGAGCGAGCGCAAAGTGCAGCGGGGGGCATCCAAGTCGAGCTCTGTTCATTGTATTTTAGTTTACACACCTCCTTATCTCAGCTGTCAAGAGGGAGGACTCTTTTTCTACAGTAACTTACCCTGAGCAATAGAGATAGTGGTGGGAAAGGAGGGGTGGGAGGAGTGAGAAGAACAGAGAATGACTGTGAGGGAGCGAGCGTGCTTAACCCAGCCACTGAGTGACTCTTGTATCCAAGGACGAAGGTAGCAACGCGTCCAAACGCCACTCTTCGCCCACGGGCTGCTGTAAAGAAATGAGGCGGACACATAGGCGCTCCGCAGCGCTCGTATAGACTCAATAGCCTGCTGGGTCCTCTTCACGTGGTCCCCTGGGGTTTGACTCGTCTGTGTGGAGTGCTGATGGCTGAGCAGATCATGACCGCAGCTAGAGTGATATATACAGAACGATTAGCCTGAATGGGAGTGTTTTATTTCCTTTTCTGTCAAAGCAAACTCAAATAAAAGTGTCTTTCTCCTATCTCACCCGTGTCTTCGCACCTAAACTAGCCCCACTTCTCTTGCGTGTTTTGGCAGAGGAGCAGACTGGCGAGGACGTAGTAACAGGTGATACGTGCCAGCGTGGATTTGGGGGCGTCGAAGAGAGCTGAAGATCATGGGTAAATCCAACAGCAAGCTCAAGCCAGAGGTGGTAGAGGAGTTGACAAGGAAAACCTACTGTGAGTAACTGAAAGTGTGTTTGTTTTTTGCTTGTTCTTACAAAGAAAAACTTTGCAGAAACTTTTTCTGTGAGCTTGTCATAGCCTGTTGGCCTGAGGTTAAAGAACATACAGCTTGCAATAGGAATACATAATACAGAGTTTATTGCTGCGGTTTGCTAATCTCATTTTCCACCCACTGTGCACCACACAGGCTTAAGAGTAAATAACGCTGCCTGCTGGGATGCTTTGGGATGCTATACATTTTTCATCACTGACAGAGCAGATGTCAGTTGCGAATGATCTCCTCATTTGTTTCAAATTTCAGATTCTTGAATGTATCGCAGACTGCAATCAGCTAAGGCTGAGTAAAAAGTTGCAAGCGGGGGTCTTTAAGTTACGCTGAGGACATAGTAGAGTTTGTGGCAGCTGTAATGATAGCTTTTCTTTACCGATGAGAATGTGGTTTTATGTGCTGTATGTTCTACTTCTAATGTGACAGACATTGATAAATTTAAACGTAGAAAGGGTAAATCAATTGTGCTTGTGCTTGTGCCGCCACACTTATAAATTGCATTCCTGCGTCAAGATCGATGGATGGGGTGGACTCACAGAAAGGGGACTGACCCTCCAATAAAGAACTGTAGCGAAGGTGCGACTTTGTAATTATATCTTCGATTGTTGTTCCCGTTGATGCATTAGGGTGCAAATTGACTGTATTTCTACCATCTTGCTTATCAACGTCTGCTCAGCTATCACTTTGGATCACATTTCTAATTACCACCAGCAATGTCTGCTTGGTATCCACTATATTACCACTTGTGTGTTATTTTTGGAGCACAGCATTGCTATTATTATTATTATTATTATTATTTGAGCACCGTGGTGTGCAGGTGTGGGTGGGAGTTGACATCCCCTGGCTGCTTAATGACAGTGTTATTTGTGTGGTTGGTCTCTCCACAGCAGAACCAAGGAAGGCTGTTGTAGCAGGAAATTGCTGTGGAGGAAGATTAGACTTCATGCTGGGCTGGACTGCTTGCTGCTGTCCCTTTCTCTCTCTCGCTCTCTCCCCCTGTCTGACTGGTTTTCTCATTCTCTCTTAACCTTTCACCCTGTCTCTTTTGCTTTTCCCCCTAACCGCCCTCTTTGAGCAGGGAATGGAATAGTATAATTAGGATCTTATCTGGTTAGCATCGCTGAGAGGGGCTCTGAGCTTTTCTCTCCCAGCGTGATCGTTCTCTTGTTGCTACTGTTGTTGCTTGACTTGAGACTATCGTTTCTGCTTTCCTTCATCCTGTTACCTCTTTCTCTTGCGCTCCCATGAGAAGCGTAGTCTGCCATTTTAGTCAATGCTTTCCTTTGGTCCTTGACAGATTGGGGACTCAGTAAATTTCCCTGTGCCCCTCTGTTTGTTTGTGTTTGTGTGTGTCTGGTAAAAGATGCAGGATGTTTTGCACAGAAAATAATGTGTGTTAAAAGGTAAACAGCAAGGCCAGAATTGAGGCCCATTTATTTACGAGGAATAAATGCTGACATCTGGATTTATTGTATTTTAGAAAATTTCTTATGAGCATATTTTTGGAATTTTTTTTTTTTGTTATCGTCAGTAAAACACCTTCAGAGACAACAGTAGGCTGTGCAACAGCTCTCACTAATGAGTGATTTTTCTGGTCTTTAGTGGAAAACCGTAGGGAATAGTTACAAACTCGCTCCTCCCCATAAATGCTTCCCTGAATGACTGTTCTGGCATTACATGGAAGGACCAGCAATCCTATTAAAATGTCTGCAGGATGTAGCATAGGCCCATGTATCAGCATGAAGATTTTTTCTTTTTCTTTTTTTGAAGTGAAAAGAGACAATGACACTCATAGCGATGGAGGCACAAGCTGAATGTGTTCTAGCTAGACCCTGCAGGGCCAACGACTGAGTGGGCCCCGCACCCTCCTGCAACTGGCTGATTGCATTATTGCCCATTGCCGCTGACTGAGTTATGTAACACGGTTTTTTATTAAATCGCAGCCATGGTAAATTGCCTCAATTTCTGACTGCAGCAATGGCTTTTGAGGCCAATTTAATGCTAGCTTGGCTTGGCTAAAAGTAGTGAGATTGACCCTGTCATTTACTGACCAGAAAATGGTCACAGGATGAGTTTCTCGGTTTAAATGCTGAGCAGAACAAATTGAGATGGAGATATATGCAGAGCTCCTTATCCGTAGTCCCTGTATTGTTTTGCTCTTGATCTGAGGTAGTCGCATTATCACAAACATTTGGTAAATATCATGTTTTGTGTTTCAGGTGTTTATTTTCTTTTTTCCCAAATTTGTTGTGAAGGTTTTTTTGTTTGTTTGTTTTTTTTAATTTGTCTGTCTCCTACAATGCGAGACTGCTGGATAATGTAATTTTATATTTTTATTTTTATTTTTTTACAGGAGAATGTAGCCTTGCTTACTCAACACTTTTTACCCTCTCTGTGTTTTACCTGGCTAGTAACCATGACTATGAGCTGCTCAAGGTTCAACATTACAGTAGATGAAATTAGTGATTAAGTTACTGTCGTTTTGTTGTCTTTAAAAGCCTTTTACTTTCCCCCGGGCCAAACAGAAGTGGTGGTAGACAGCATCTATTGTCAGCTTGCTGCAGCAGCAGCGACATGAGTTCAGAGTGCCTCTCAAAAGACCACCTGGTTAAACTAATGCTATTGATTTCCAGCCCTTTTTTTTTCATTAGTAATCCCAGGAGCCAAGAGGCTGAAAATTACTTTGGTTACTTGAGAGAAAGTAAAGAGACAAGGGAAAGGCATGTGGGAATGGTTGATTACATACTGGCAGATAGTAGTGCTTGTGTGGGCATGATAACACATCCTGCCACATAAACAGTTCTTTTTCTTAAATCAGTGGCTGACCTTCATTCCCTCTGCTTTCCTCGTCTTTTTGTGGCTCTCTAGGGTTTACTCCCACTTGTCTACTGCTATACAGGATATACTAGAATTAATGAATTCTATTTTCAGCAAAACAAAAGCTGTATTCCAATTAGGGCTGGGCCATATTGTACCGTTCACGGTAATACCGGTATAATGTTAGGCAACGATAGGAAAATGAAATATCGCGATAGAATATGAGTAAA